GTCCAACAATATCCAGAAACTGGATTTGTCTAGCAATCACTTCTATGGTGCAATTCCATCTTCATTCTTCCACCAAGCTAGCAACTTGATTAGTTTCAATGTCAGCAACAATACCTTCACAGGGTATGTCCCATCCTCTGTTTGTCTCCATGCTTCTCCCTTCCTTAGGATATTGGATTTTTCTTCTAATGAATTTAGTGGCAACCTTGCTCCTGGGCTGGGGGAGTGTTCTGAACTGCAATTTTTTCATGCTGGTCATAATAACCTCTCAGGGTTACTTCCAGAAGATATCTATAATGCTACCAAACTTGAAGAAATTTCATTACCTCTCAATTCACTACATGGAGCTGTTAGTGATAAAATTGTCAACCTCACCGACCTTGCCATCCTTGACCTCGACTTTAATAATTTTGGCGGCAAGCTTCCGCTCAAAATGGGGAAGCTCTCCAAGTTGAAGGTTGTGACCCTTGATTTCAACAACTTTGAAGGCGCTTTGCCCTCATCTTTGATGAATTGCACAGACCTTGTAGAGCTGCATTTGGGATCCAACAACTTGGAAGGAGATATCTCCAAGCTTGATTTCTCCAGACTTAGTCAACTTACTAAACTTGACTTGTGGTACAATAACTTCACTGGTACGGTTCCAGTAAGCCTTTACTCATGTCGGTCCCTAAAAGCCATTCGATTGACAAGAAATCATCTAGAGGGACAAATACAAGCTGAGATTCTTTCATTGAAATCCTTGTCCTTCCTGTCGCTTGGTTACAACCGATTCACCAACCTCACAGGGGCGATGAAGATCTTAATGAGTTGCAAAAGTCTCCACGTACTCTTGCTTACTGGTTCCTTTAAAGGTGAGGGAATGCCAACTGATGATGACATGGTTGATTTTGATGGATTCCAAAATCTTCTGTTTTTGAGTTTGGCTCGTTCTGACCTCATTGGTCAAATACCTGTATGGTTATCAAAGCTCAAGAATCTAGAGGTCTTGCAGCTGGGTTTTAATCAAATCACAGGGCCAATTCCAAGTTGGTTAGGGACTCTTCCTAGACTGTTTTATATAAGCTTGCCCAACAATCGAATTTCAGGTGAATTTCCAAAGCAACTTTGTAGACTACCAAGGTTGCTTTATGAGTCTATTGCATCTCAAGCAGAGCAATATGAAATTGAGTTGCCTGTCTACGGCCACATTGAAACCACAAGAACCTTTCCATCGCAGAAATTGGCTTTTTATCGAGCATGGATAGACGTAGCTAACAATAACATTGTTGGAGATATACCTACTGAAATCGACCAATTGCACCTTCTCCAAGGGTTGGTTCTTAGCTCCAACAACTTCTTCGGCGTCATTCCAGACCAAATATCTAACTTAAAATATTTAGAGATTTTGGACTTCTCCACGAATCACTTGTCTGGAATAATCCCATCGTCATTGACAAGCCTTAATTTCTTGAAATATTTTAATGCCTCATACAATAATCTTGAAGGACCAATACCAATAGGCACCCAGCTCCAAAGCTTCAACGCTTCTGCCTTTGAGGGGAATCCAAAACTTTGTGGTGCCCCACTTCCAAAAAAGTGTGGACAAAATAAGAGCATTGGTGCAGATAACAAGAACAACAAAGACATGGACAATGGGCTTCATCAACTTCCATGGTTTTATGTTTTTGCTGCGTTGGGGTTCATATTGGGATTTTGGGGAGTCTGCGGTTCTTTAATTATTAACAAGACATGGAGATATGCGTATTTTCGATTCACAGACAATCTACAAGATAGGCTCTATATGATGGTAATAGTGCGCATCAACATGATGAAAAGAAGACTTAGAAGCTAGATATATATTATTAATATTGACATATTGTACTTTTTATTTTGCATTTTCAGTTTGCTTTTCCTTTTTTCCCTTTTGTGTACACCTAATGTAATAAGGCACAGTTTGTTCTTATAATTACGTCTTCTTTTCCGGATGTGATTTCTGCACGCTACCTTTTCAAGTAACAACTTCAGCTACATATCAGCTGCCAAGAATGATGTACATATCAGCTAGGCAGAGTTCAGTTTTAACAAAGAGTACTTGGTAACAAGTAATCTGTTTTTCTAACGTTGATTTTGATGGATTCCAAAATCTTCTGTTTTTGAGTTTGGCTCGTTCTGACCTCATTGGTCAAATACCTGTATGGTTATCAAAGCTCAAGAATCTAGAGGTCTTGCAGCTGGGTTTTAATCAAATCACAGGGCCAATTCCAAGTTGGTTAGGGACTCTTCCTAGACTGTTTTATATAAGCTTGCCCAACAATCGAATTTCAGGTGAATTTCCAAAGCAACTTTGTAGACTACCAAGGTTGCTTTTTGAGTCTATTGCATCTCAAGGAGAGCAATATGAAATTGAATTGCCTGTCTACGGCCGCATCGAAACCACAAGAACCTTTCCATCACAGAAATTGGCTTTTTATCGAGCATGGATAGATGTAGCTAACAATAACATTGTTGGAGATATACCTACTGAAATCGACCAATTGCACCTTCTCCAAGGGTTGGTTCTTAGCTCCAACAACTTCTTCGGCGTCATTCCAGACCAAATATCTAACTTAAAATATTTAGAGATTTTGGACTTCTCCACGAATCACTTGTCTGGAATAATCCCATCGTCATTGACAAGCCTTAATTTCTTGAAATATTTTAATGCCTCATACAATAATCTTGAAGGACCAATACCAATAGGCACCCAGCTCCAAAGCTTCAACGCTTCTGCCTTTGAGGGGAATCCAAAACTTTGTGGTGCCCCACTTCCAAAAAAGTGCAGACAAAATAAGAGCATTGGTGCAAATAACAAGAACAACAAAGACGTGGACAATGGGCTTCATCAACTTCCGTGGTTTTATATTTTTGCTGCGTTGGGGTTCGTATTGGGATTTTGGGGAGTCTGCGGTTCTTTAATTATTAACAAGACATGGAGGTATGCATATTTTCGATTCACAGACAATCTACAAGATAGGCTCTATATGATGGTAACAGTGCGCATCAACACGATGAAAAGAAGGCTTAGAAGCTAGATATATATTATTAATATTGACATATTGTACTTTTTATTTTACATTTTCAGTTTGCTTTTCCTTTTTTCCCTTTCGTGTACACCTAATGTAATAAGGCACAGTTTGTTCTTATAATTACATCTTCTTTTCCGGATGTGATTTCTGCACGCTACCTTTTCAAGTAACAACTTCAGCTACATATCGGCTGCCAAGAATGATGTACATATCAGCTGGGCAGAGTTCAGTTTTCCAAAGAGTACTTGGTAACAAGTAATCTGTTTTTCTAACGTCTAATCCATAACAACCAGTAGCACCGATTTGTTCAATATGGGAACTGAGTACAAAAATGTGTATAAAAAGTTCAATGCAGCATCAATTGATCTTCTTTATCTTTGTTAGTAAATTATTGCTTCCATTGTATGCCTTCTGTTTTTTTTTTGGTCGAAAATATGCATTTTGTTCCATGAAAACAACTTTGATTCACATTAAGATCCTTGATTTGAGCTATAACATCCTTTGATTCACATGAAAACAACTTTGAACTTGGACTTTTTTTCACATCAAAATAACAAGGTCTCGCTTTGGTTTCATACTGTACGAGTCGTTCTATGGTGAGGATGCCATATATTGACCATAAATGTGGACCTTCATATTAGCCACATGATTCATTTGAATAGTAACTTCACTTAAGTTTATTAAAATGATTCTATGGCTAATATGAAGGTTCATTTGAGGGGTCCATATACGACACCCTCACTATAGAATTTTGCTATATCGCAAATCTCTCTACGACGTACATAGGGCTTTGGATAATTTGTGTTGTGTGGTTAGGCCATCCCCACCATGAGGCTCTTAAATTGTAAAGCCCAATGACATGCATTTTGGGCTCTTAAATTGTAAAGCCCGTCGGAGCAATCTCTATATCTATGGACCTGGATAGAGCCCCTTGAGCCCGAGCAGACAACACCCATATAAAAGCCGATGCCCGCAGCTGTCGGAATACCGTATGATACCGTATGATATCAATATGTTCAGGTTCTGATCCCACAGCCGAGCCCCTTCAGGTTCTGATCCCACTCGCCCAACGCATCTGTTCTTTCTTGCTGTCGGAAAACCGTATGATATCAATATGGATTTAGCCAAAATCATGAATATAAACTGCCATGAGCCTCTTTTTGGTCCGGACTGACATTACTTCGATACAAGAAATAAATGTAAGATATATTTTACATCACCAAATCTAATCTATAATTTGAACAGATTTTGCCTATGGATGGTCTAAAAGCCAAGAAACGTTCTTTAAAAAGTAGTTTGAAATGTTATGTGGCCAAACTTTCATGCTGACTACGTACTGATATGACCTGCCAAACCAATAACCTTGATTGATAGTCCGACAAAAGAATGCTTCTATGGAAAAACAAACATAAAAGCTTCAGCTCAATAAGTTCTTCAAGGCTTTCGAAGGAAAAACTGCATCGAGCCGCAACAGATAACTGTATGTAACAGACTGTCAGACTCAAACAATTGACAAAACTATCTCAAAGCAGTTGTAGACATCCCCCTGATTTTTGCGAACCCCATTACCAGGAAAACTCATTTTGACAGGTTTGTTTAGAAAACGAGTGAAAAATTTGAAGAAAACTACCATTACATATCACCTGCATTATGTGAAGGTTGCAGTGCAGAACTCAGTGAAGCGATTGCCTCGTGGTTTTGGCTACGTTATTTGAAGTTAGAAGTTAGAAGCTCCAAGAGATCATGCATAAGCATCCGAGGATAGTTGAAAGGGAGCATGCTGCAAAATCCATGACATAACAGTAGAAAACTATCAAACTCACCGCCACTACAAATCACACGCATATCGCCTATTGCCCTACTAGCACTAGGTTTCAATTTCATTAACAACTTCAGAGCATGCTTGTTTACATACTTGAAGATGGTTTAACATTTAGTCCATCGAGCATCTACACAAATACGTGCACTGACATAAATAAAAATCTTCAAGAGCAAGTTGTTTCCCTAACCAACAAATAAAATAGTGCAATGTATGAATGTCCAAAGTATATAAATAGAAGCATGCATGCTATGGTATTCCAATGGGGAACCACAAGCCACCTTATGCCGGAGCATCTTAGATAAAGACTGCCTGAACTGTTGCCTAGCACTATTCACAAATGACAAATTCACCTCGATTTGGATTAGAATCCACAGCTTTATCTTCCTTAAAAGGTTGATCAACAAGTTCAATAGACATAATATATTCTAAGATGAAAATCTTCCCAGTACTCACAATAGGCCCCCCTACACACACACCTTCTTACTCAATAATCATCCTCAAGAAGGCTGCATAGTGCATGAATCACACTATAAAGTTGAGAGAAAATGTCACAAAAGAAGCACAAATGCATAGACAATCGAAATTCCTCCACAATCCCCATTACCAGTGATTAAAATTTTGCACACGGAGCACATCAAACCCACAGAGAGCCTAATCTCAAGATGATTTTTATTTTAATTTTTTTGAGAAAGTTATTTTACTAAATTTGGTATATTGAAATCGATTGAAAGACATGAATTCTTGCACCATTTTCTATACAATTTAACAACCATACAAACTCAAAAAGAAGCCAAAGCTCAAGCTTACTTGCCAAATTCCATGATTAAAATTGAAAATTCGCCTTAAAACAACAGGAAGATTTCATAGTACATCAGTGAAACTTGAAATCATTACATTTATCATTATTGTCACCAGCAAGACTTTCAAATCAAAAACCTGGAGATCACTCAAGGGCATTTGCGGCATTTTCAGGGAGCTGTTGCTGTAAAATTGACTTGTTCTGAAGCTCACGCCATTTATTGATTCCAACAGTGCAAATAACTACCCAGAAAGAAAGAAAAAAATTCCGCCAAACATTTAAAAAGGGAAAAGAAGATGAAGAAGAAGACTCTCTCTCTCTCTCTCTCTCTCAAAAACCAAAGACTTGAAATTGAAATGAAATTTCATGACTTACAGCCAGCGCCGACAAAATAAAGCAGACGGAGGAGCTTTGGGGCTGGGGGGCCCGCTAATTCTTCTCCACTCATTGCTCTTCTCTTCTCTTCTTCAGACTCTTCTGTGCGAGAAGTTGAGAACTGAGAAAGACTGCGTCCTGTTTTGGTGCGAAACTGAAATGGGTCGGATCATCTCGAACTCGGCCCGAACCCAATACTTTTATATTACAAATGTTGGGCCAGACCCGACCTCGTTTTGGGCCAAGATAGCAGAAAAAACTTCTCTTTTGAGACTTCGAATTAGAATTTGCAGAGAATTGGAGACTTTGATTCCATATCTTGGCTTTAACATATTCATCCGATGTGTCTTGTGCATTTTAAAAGTGTTTTTGGCTATGATTTCTCATTGATTATTTTTGGAAAGCTCTCCAAGTTGAAATTTGTGACCCTTGATTTCAACAATTTAGAAGGTTCTTTGCCCCCATCTTTGTTGAATTTCACAAACATTGTAGAACTACACTTGGGATCCAATCCAACAACTTGGAGGGAGATATCTGCATGCTTGATTTTTCCAGACTTAGTCAACGAACTAAACTTGACCTGAGGGTTAATAACTTTAACAGGATGTTTCCAATAAGTCTTTACTCATGTAAGTCCCTGAAAGCAATTCGATTGAATTTAAAATTTAAATCATCTAGAGGGGCAAATACAACCTGAGATTCTTTTATTAAAATCCTTGTCCTTCCTCTCAATTGGTGGCAATAGATTGACCAATGTCACAGGATGCGTTGCAGAAGTCTACGCACACTCTTCCTTTCAGAATCCTTTATAACTACATCATTTTCAAGCTAGCTAAAGAAAATCAACAAATTATGGATGCCTTTAGGTGCTCCTTTATATATACAAACAAATTAGATGTGTTGATGCGAAAAAGTGGTTCGGCACTTTTGGGCTCAACTTAGTGATGTTGGGCCTTTGGAATGCTTTGGGCCTCGGTAGAGCGTGTGATCTGAAAGATGAGAAACGCTCGGTAAAACCTAGGGCACCGGTGTGGTACCGGCCGAAGGCTCTCCGATGCTTAAGTAAGTTCGGGTTTAGTAAATTAAACTGACAGATCAATAGGCTTGTATGCCGTAAGTTCCGATTACCTCTATTTTGGGATAGTTGTCATCTTTTATAGGCCTTGGGAGGTGTGCATATTGTTTAGAATTTCGATGTGGGACTGTGGACGTCGACTGTGAGCATGCCACGTGTAATGGAGAAGGGAGTTGCCCTAGTCGAGGGATCGGTAGGCTAGGTGCTGAAGGCTACCATAACCAAGCTCAATCTTGTCCACGTGTCTGGCTCCTATAGGCTGTTCATTATGGTATAAACAAGATGCAACCCGAATCTGCAACTTTCACAGAACTGCCTTTTAGCTTGCAGCTTGCTCGAATTGCAGAATTGTTATCTTCCACTTCAAACGCAATATTGGCATGCCAACATCCTAACACCGTCTCCTAGAATCATTCTCCACAGCTCAATACAATTCACTTGTTCCTGGTTGGGGCTTATTTTATTGCTATCAATATATTTAGCAAGTAGTTGTTAAGTTGTGTAATCTTGTCAAGCTTAATAAAATTATTGATGGGTTATACATTATTGTTCTACCAAGAAACGCTACCAAGAAATACTTCTAGATGAGATATTTTTTTTATGGGTTATACATGATGACAGCTTATTTGTCATCCTAAGTCTTTCAGTCTTACATCCTGGTATAAATTATCAACACGACAAAGTCGTCGTGGACTGTAAATTAATTTGCAAAGTCTTCTATTTGAATATCAATAATTTGAATCATAGTTGTTTGCCGACTTCTCAATTTGCAATTGTTTCCAAGCATCTTTGCTCTTATATATACAAACCTGTGAGTGTGAGCAACGACACATACACAACACAACATTATAACTTAATGGCTCATGGCTTCCTTCTCTTCCTCTTATTCTCTTACATTATATCTACAAATATTCATGCCTGCAAACAAGCTGAAAGAAGCTCCCTCCTGTCCTTTGCCAGCACTCTATCTTCTCCTCCTTTAAATTGGACATCCATTGATTGCTGTCGTTGGAAGGGCATCACTTGTAATAAAGAAGGTTCGGTCACCCATTTGCTCTTACCTTCCAAAGGGCTCAAAGGAGGTCTCTTGCCTTCTTCATTAGCAAATCTCACACATATCACCCACTTGAATCTTTCCCATAATTCACTATATGGTTCACTTGAAACTCAGTTCTTATTGTCTTTGGATAGAATTGAGATCCTTGATTTGAGCTATAACCTTCTTTCTGGAGAGCTACCACTTTCTCTACCATCCAGCAATATCCAGACACTGGATTTGTCCAGCAATCACTTTCATGGTGCAATTCCATCTTCATTCTTCCAACAAGCAAGCAACTTGACAAGTTTCAATGTCAGCAACAATATCTTCAAAGGGTATGTCCCATCCTCTATTTGTCTTCATTCTTCTCCCTTCCTTAGGCTATTGGATTTTTTTCCAATGAATTCAATGGCAACCTTGCTCCTGGGCTGGGGGCGTGTTCTGAACTGCAGATTTTTTGAGCCGGTCACAATAACCTCTCAGGATTACTTCCAGAAGATATCTATAATGCTACCAAACTTGAAGAAATTGCATTACCACTCAATTCACTACGTGGAGCCATTAGTGATAAAATTGTCAACATCACCAACCTTGCAATCCTTGACCTCTACTTTAATCAATTCAGTGGCGAGCTTCCTTTCAATTTGGGGAAACTCTCTGAGTTGAAGTTTGTGACCCTTGATTTCAATAATTTAAAAGGTGCTTTGCCTCCATCTTTGATGAATTGCACAAACCTTGAAGAACTAGGTTTGGGATCCAACAATTTAGAAGGAGAGATCTCCATACTTGATTTCTCCAGACTTAGTCAACTAACTAAACTTGACCTGAGGCTCAATAACTTCACCGATATGTTTCCAGTAAGCCTTTACTCATGTAGGTCCCTAAAAGCCATTCGATTGAGTGGAAATCATCTTGAGGGAGAAATACAAACTAAGATTATTTCATTGAAATCCTTGTCCTTCCTGTCGCTTGGTTACAGCTGATTCACCAACCTCACAGGTGCAATGAAGATATTGATGAGTTGCAAAAGTCTTCAAGCACTCATGCTTGCTGGTTCCTTTAAAGGTGAGGGAATGCCATATGATGATGACATGGTTGATTTTGACGGATTCCAAAATCTTCGGTTATTGAGTTTGGTTGATTCTAACCTCACTGGTCAAATACCTGTATGGTTATCAAAGCTCAAGAATCTAGAGATCTTAGGTCTGGGTTTAAAACAAATCACAGGGCCAATTCCAAGTTGGTTAGGGACTCTTCCTGGACTGTTTTATATAAGCTTGGGAGACAACCGAATTTCAGGTGAATTTCCAAACCAACTTTGTAGACTACCAAGGTTGCTTTATGAACCTATTGCATCTCAAGTAGACCAATATGAATTTGACTTGCCTGTCATCAGCGACGTAAACGAAAATCACATTTTTCCATCGTATAAATTGTCTTTCATTGTGGCAACGATAGACTTATCTAACAATAATTTTATTGGTGATATACCTACTGAGATCGGCCAATTGTAGCTTCTCTGATGGCTATTTCTGAACTCCAACAACTTCTCCTGTGTCATTCCAGACCAAATATCAAACCTAAAAAACTTAGAGGTTTGGATCTCTCCACGAATCATTTATCTGGAAAAATCCCATTGTCATTGGCGAGCCTTAATTTCTTGAAAGATTTTAATATCTCATACAATAATCTCCAAGGACCAATACCAACTGGCACCCAGCTCTAAAGCTTCAATGCTTTTGCCTTTGAGGGGAATCCAAGACTTTGTGGTGCCCCACTTCCAAATAAGTGTAGATTAAATAAGGGCATTGATGTAGATAACAAGAACAACAAAGACGTTGAAAATAGGCTTCATCAACTTCCGTGGTTTTATATTTTCACTGCATTGGGGTTTATAGTGGGATTTTGGGGAGTCTGTGGTTCTTTAATTATTAACAAGACATGGAGATATGAGTATTTTCGATTCATAGACAATCTACAAGATAGGCTCCATGTGATCATAACAGTCTGCATCAACACGATGAATAGAAGACTTAGAGGCTAGATATATATTATTATTATTAATATTGTACTTTTTATTTTGTATTTTCAGTTTGCTTTTCCTTTTTTTTTCCTTCTTTTCTTTTGTGTTCCTGATGTACGGTACAATTTGTTCTTGCAGCGTGTTTGTAAAAAGATTAGGGCATTAATATATAAACCTGTTTTCTCTATACTTTAAAGAAAAACCCCTACTTTAGAAATAAAAAAATGGAAATATACTAAGAACCAATCTGAATATATACTTTTAATTTTGATTAAATCTCCTTGATTGATCCAATCTCTCCATTTAAAAGAGAGAATAGTTCCCTTCCATATGTGAATTATTCTCTAAAAAACCTTAGAAGACCAAGTTTTTGGCGCCGGATTCTTAAATTAGTTTAGGAATAGCCAATAGAAGCCAATAGAAGCCAAAGGGAAGCATACAACAGCCAATAGAAGCCAAAGGAAAAGAGAGTGAAGTGCGCTACTTGACAAAAAAGTAACAAGGAAAACTCCATCTTTCTTCACAGCCGCTAAACCAAGCTCGCATTCCAGGAAATCAATGAAACGGGAAGCACGCATCCAAGAAGAGACGAAAATATTTCGCTGACTTTCTGCTGTCAACTAGAAAGTTTCCTTTTTCAAATTGGAGTCTTTCCTTTTCCATTTCAATTTTCTTCTCATAATCTTGTTCGTATAATTTAAAACCTTTGTTCTTTTCTCAGGAGCAGCCAATAGAAGCAAAAGAAGAGGGGCTGTCGACAAAACCAAAGGGAGAATCCCATTCATACAGCCGCTTCTCCCAACACAACGCCCAGCCAAAAATTTCTCATTCTTCAATTGGGACTCGACTTCCTCTTCCCACTGAACCTTCAATTTTTCGTTTTCTTTCTAATTCAATTTGGGTTTTGTTGATTTCCTACTCCAAGTGTATTATTCTTTTCTTATTTGAACAACTATTTGCTTTTGTTGCAGGTATAAAAACCTAATTTCTGAAAATTGTGTACGGATGAAGATGACGAGACAGATAAAGATGCTTGTACATTTGATAGTGGAAACTCCCCTTTTCACCTTGACACTTTTAATCAAGATAGTGATTTTATGTCTTTAGCAGGCATCAAAACCTGAGAAATTTGTTAGAACCCACCGAGAAATTTGTTAGAACCCACAAATTTTCCAAATCCTTAAATAATGCTGTCTTGCGAATAAAGTATAATAGTGTAGCCTGCTGTGAACAATCTAAACCTAACATGCACGGTAGTGTAGCCTTCTAATAACCCAATGGCTCTTGTCTTCTTCCTCGTCCTCCTATTTTCTTCCATTATATCTCCAAAAGTTCATGCATGCAGCCAAACTGAACGCAGCTCTCTCCTGGCCACCTTCATCCACACTCTCTCGTCTCCTCCATTTAATTGGAGTTCTTCCATTAACTGCTGCCATTGGAGCGGCATCAGTTGTAATCAGGATGGTTGGGTCACCCATTTGATCCTGCCCTCCAAAGGGATCAAGGGAGGTTTTAAGCTCGCATCACTTGCAAATCTCACTCATCTTACCCACATCAATCTGTCTCACAACTCACTTTATGGCTCACTTGTTCAAACTGAACTCTTCTTGTCCTTGAAAAGTCTTGAGGTCCTCGATTTGAGCCACAACCTTCTTTCTGGAAAGCTACCATCTTCTTTACCTTCCAGCAACATCCTGACAGTGGATTTGTCCAGCAATCACCTGCATGGTGCAATTCCTCCTACATTCTTCAATGGAGCTTGGCATTTGACTAGTTTCAATGCTAGCAATAATGCCTTCTCAGGGTCTATCCCATCCTCTATTTGTCTCCAACATTCTTCTCCTTTAATAAGGCATTTGGATGTTTCCTCCAATAATTTTAATGGCATCATTTTGCCAGGATTAGGGGACTGTTCTAACCTGCAGGTTTTTCGTGCTCATCACAATAATATCACAGGATTACTTCCAGAAGATATCTACAATGCTACCGAAGTTGAAGAAATTGCATTACATTTCAACTCATTATATGGAGCAATAAGCGACAGAATTGCCAACCTCACCAACTTGGCAATCCTTGATCTCTCCTTTAATGAATTGAGTGGTGTGCTCCCTCTCCAGTTCGGGAAGCTATCCAAGTTGAGCCACGTAATCCTTGAATTCAATAATCTCCAAGGTTCTTTGCCCCCATGTTTGATGAACAGCACAAATCTTATAGAAGTACGTCTGGGATCCAACAACTTGGGAGGGGATATCTCCGCTCTTAATTTCTCCACACTCAGTCAATTAAGAAAACTTGACCTATTTAGGAATAATTTCATTGGTAACTTGCCAACAAGCCTTTACTCATGTCGGTCCCTACAAGCAATTCGATTAAGTTCCAATAATCTACAAGGACAGATACAACCTGAGATTCTTTCATTGAAATCCTTGTCTTTCCTCTCGCTTGCTAAAACCAGATTGACCAATTTAACTGGGGCAATCAAGATATTAATGCGTTGCAAAACTCTTCGAACGCTCTTCCTTTCAGGTTCCTTTATCGGTGAGGGAAACCTAGATGATGATGGCATGGTTGATCATGATGGGTTCCAAAATCTTCGAGTTTTGGGTTTGAGTGGGTGTGAGATCACCGGTCCAATACCTATATGGTTATTAAAGCTCAAGAATCTCCAGAGCTTGACTTTGGACCATAACAGAATCACAGGGTCAATTCCTAGTTGGTTGGGGACTCTTCCAAGACTCTTTCATATGAGATTGCATGACAACCTTATTTCAGGTGAATATCCCAAGCAACTCTGCAGGCTAACAAGTTTGGTATATCAACTTCCTGAATCTCAGGTAGACGACGATCGTTATGAATTTGAATTGCCTGTCATCTCTGGATCAAAAGAAAATCCATCTTTTTTACAGCGCGTAGTGTCTTTCCTTCCACCAATGATAGACGTATCTAACAATAACATGAATGGTAGTATACCTACTGAGATCGGCCAATTGATGCTTCTTCACACGTTGAATCTTAGCGGCAACAACTTCTCTGGAAACATTCCAACCCAAATATCCAACCAAAAAAACTTAGAAGCTTTGGATCTGTCCAGGAATGCTTTGTCTGGAAACATCCCATCCTCATTGGCTAGCCTGCATTTCTTGCATGACCTTAATGTCTCGTACAATGATCTCAGAGGACCAATACCAACAAGCACTCAGCTCCAAAGCCTCAATGCTTCTGCATTTGAGGGGAATCCGAAACTTTGTGGAGCCCCAGTTCCGAATGAGTGCGGGCCGATCAAGGGCATTGATGCAGCAGATAAGAAGAACAACCACGATGTGGACTGTGGTCACCAACTTCCATGGTTTTATATTTCTGTTGTGCTAGGCTTCATTGTAGGATTTTGGGGAGTGTGTGGTTCTTTAATTATTAAGAGAACGTGGAGACATGCATATTTTCGATTCACAGACAATCTACAAGATAGGGTCTATATGATGATGACAGTGTCCATGAACAGGATGAAGCGAAAGCTCAGAGGCTAGATATTATTGTACTTTATTTGATTTCACGTCTTCAGTTTTTTTTTTCTTTTCTTCTGTGTTCCTGTCCTGATGTAATAATGCACAGTTTGTTCTTACAATAATGTCTTCCTTTTGCAAGCAACAAATACAACTCGAAAAACTGACCATCTGGTTTTGGCCATAGATCCTGTAAGGAAAACAAGAACAAAAGAAAACAGAGTAATACCCCAATGCCATTCCCCTCGTACGGTCAGTCGAGGTTCTCTCTAAAATACCCCTATTCTTCCTGCAATTAGAAGAAGCGCCCGCAAAATAAAGCAGACGAAGGAGCTTTGGGGCTGGGGGGGGCCCGCTAATTCTTCTCCACTCATTGCTCTGCTATTCTTCCTATTACAGACTCTTTTGCGTGAGAACTCAGAAAAGACGACGACCTGTTTTGGTCCGAAACTGAAATGGGTGGGATCATATCGACCTCGGGCGTTTATATATGCATGTAAAGCCTGTGGCCCGAAGGCCCGAACAAACTTTTATCGCACATATATATTTCAAATGTTGGGCCAGACCCGACCCAGTTTTGGTCCAAGATAGCAGAAAAAACTTATCTTTTGAGAATCTGAATTTCCAGAGAATTGGAGGAGAGCTGAAATGGCAAAGAAAGGAAGCTCAAAGTTGAATGTTGCTATTATTCATCCTGATTTGGGCATAGCTAATTTCTACTTCTTCTTTCTGTTATGGTATACAAGGTGGTATGCAAATGTGATATGCCTAAATTACACTTGCTCTACTCTCTACTCTCTCAGTGGACTCAACTTACAACTACTAATTATTAAGTTAAACAATGACCGTACCCTCTGTTTTGATTTTGTTTTTTGGTCGAACCCCTCTCTTTTGATTTGTTTATAACTTTGTTATTTATCATTTATTTTAATTTAAATTGTAAAATTTTAAAAAAATTGGTCATGTGTCAAGCATGTGAGGTTGTTACAGATTGAATGGAATTCGGAAAATTCAACGACAATGACGGAATTGGATATTTATAACGAGTTTTGAGGAATCAATGGGCAGAGAAAATAATTCAACGAATGAAAATCCATATTTTTTTGCTTAGATACGTTGAAGAGAGGTTCCAACTAATGTTGCCAAATTGTAGACCACATTAAGTCTAAAGAGGGGTCCACGATGAGAGCATCAGACCTCCTTATTTCAAAGCCTGCGACGACTCCAAGCACTTGACCCCAGTGGAAGGCAACCACTACATTCAAAAAACTTGGAAGATTGTCATAGGTTAATTAAAGAAGATAATTGCATTTTCCTCCTTTGAAATCAATTCATTTCACTCAAATATTTGCATCCATAAACATTTGCACTGACCTGGACAGCCAAATCTGTAGCTGAAGGTGTATTTGTTGCTTGTTTTTGTTTCACAAGTATGTGCTGCATTAAATTTTGACTACCCATTTTTGTGTTCATTTGATATAGTATTGATGACTTTGGACAACCAAAATCTGTCTTTATTGTTGCTTGCAAAATGTAGCGTGAAAGAAACTGCATCCAAAAAGAAGAGATAAGGACAAACTGTGCCGTATTACATTAGGAACGCAAAAAAGAAAAAGAAAAAAAGAAACGCAAATAAAAAAATTAACAAAAAAAATACAATATTAGCCTCTAAGGCTTTCTCTTTATCATGTTGATGCGCACTATTATCTTCACATAGAGCCTATCTTGTACATTCTATATATGAATTGAAAATACGCATATCTTCATGTCTTGTTAATAATTAAAGAACCACATACTCCCCAAAATCCCACTATGAACCCTAGCACAATAGAAGAAATATAAAACCATGGAAGTTGATGAAGCCCATTGTCCATGTCTTTGTTGTTCTTCTTGTTATCTTCATCAATGCCTTTATTTGGTTGACCACACTTATTAGGAAGTGGTGCACCACAAAGTTTTGGATTCCCCTCAAAGGCAGAAGCGTTGAAGCTTTGGAGCTGAGTGCTTGTTGGTATTGGTCCTTGGAGATAATTGTATGAGACATTAAATTCTTTCAAGAAAGTAAGGCTCGCCAATGACGATGGGATTATTCCAGACAAGTGGTTCATGGAGAGGTTCAAAACCTCTAAATTTTTTAGGTTAGATATTTGGTTTGGAATGACGCCGGAGAAGTTGTTGGAGTGAAGAACCAACCTACGGAGAAGCTGTAATTGGCCGACCTCAATAGGTATGTTACCAACAATGTTATTGTTTGATAAGTCTATCGTTGCTGGATAGGAAGAAATTTTGGACGACAAATAATAATTTGGGTTTCTGTCGATAGTGCCAAAGTAGAAAGGCAATTCAAATTCATTACTAATGTCGTCTACTTGAGATGTAATATTAGGTTCATATACCAACCTTGGTAGTCTACAAAGTTGCTTTGGAAATTCACCTGAAAATCGGTTCTCTGACAAGTTGATATAAAACAATCTAGGAAGAGTCCCCAACCAACTTGGAATTGGCCCTGTTATTTCATTACCACTTAGAAGCAAAATCTTTAGATTATGGAGCTTTGATAACCACACAGGTAGTTGACCAGTAAGGCGATTACCAACCAAACACAATACTCGAAGATTTTGGAATCCGTCAAAATCAACCATGTCTTCGTCAGCTGGCATTCCCTCATCTTTAAAGCAACCACTAAGCATGAGTGCGCGAAGACTTTTGCAACTCATCAATATCTTCATTGCCCCCGTGAGATTGGTGAACTGGTTGAAACCAAGCGAGAGGAAGGACAAGGATTTCAATGAAAGAATCTCAGCTTGTATTTGTCCCACTAGATTATTTCCAGTCAACCGAATGGCTTTTAAGGACCTACATGAGTAAAGGCTTACTGGAAACGTACCAGTGAAGTTGTTGACCCTTAGGTCAAGTTTGGCAAGTTGGTTAAGTCTGGAGAAATCAAGCATGGATATATCTCCTTCCAAGTTGTTCGATCCCAAACGTAGTTCTACAAGGTTTGTGCAATTCATCAAAGATGGGGGCAAAGCACCTTCTAAATTGTTGAAATCAAGGGTCATGAACTTCAACTTGGAAAGCTTCCCCAAATTGAGAGGAAGCTTGCCGCTCAAATGATTAATGTAGAGGTCAAGGATTGCAAGGTTGGTGAGGTTGACAATTTTATCACTAATAGCTCCATGTAGTGAACTGAGAGGTAATGCAATTTCTTCAAGTTTGGTAGCATTATAAATATCTTCTGGAAGTAATCCTGAGAGGTTATTGTGACCTGCACGAAAAACCTGCAGTTCGGAACACTTCCCTAGTCCAGGAGCAAGGTTGCCATTGAATAGATTGGAAGAAAAATCCAAAAGCCTAAGGAAGGGAGAAGAATGGAGACAAATAGAGGATGGGACATACCCTGTGAAGGTATTGTTTCTGACGTTGAAACTAGTCAAGTTGCTTGCTTGTTGGAAGAATGAAGATGGAATTGCACCAAAGAAGTGATTGCTTGACAAATCTACTGTCCGTATATTGCTGGATGGTAGAGAAAATGGTAGCTCTCCAGAAAGAAGGTTATAGCTCAAATCAAGGATCTCAAGACAATTCAACGACAAGAAGAGTTTGGTTTCAAGTGAACCAAGAAGTGAATTGTGGGAAAGGTTCAAGTGGGTGAGATGTGTGAGATTTCCAAGTGAAAATGGAGAGAGACCTCCTTTGAGCCCTTTGGAAGGCAAGAGCAAATGGGTGACCCAACCATCTTGATTACAAGTGATGCCCTTCCAATGACAGCAATCAAGGGATGTCCAATTTAAAAGAGGAGCAGATACAGCGGAGGCAAAGGACAGGAGGGAGCTGCGTTCAGTGTGTTTGCATGCATGAATATTCATAGATGTAATGCAAGAGAATAAGAGGAAGAGAAGGAAGGCATGAGCCATTAGGTTGTAAGGCTGCACTTGCATGTTGCCTTGTGTATGTGCCGTTGCTCACAGCAGATTTGTACATATATATAAACATCAATGCAAATTGAGAAGTCGGCAAACAACAACCACACAATGCAAATTATTGATATCGAAGAGAGATTTGCATTAATGAAACCAAAGAGAATACCTACAAAGTACTCAAAGTCTTTGGATGTTATTTAATACGGCATGTTCGCCCTAACTGTACATGGTCATATTGGTAAAAGGCAGCTTGATACAACCCTCTAAGTGACGAACACGTAAGAATCCCAATATAACCTAACTGTACATTAAGACAAGACTTAATCTCTCAAAATGTTTAGTCACATCCAATTCATATTGGTAAAATGCCTGATGTTTCTCGGTATCTACCAATGCCCAATTCATATAATGCCTGATGTTTCACGGTATCTACCAATGCTAGAGGTCACATCCAATTCATAAATACAGCTTAAACACAAAACAACTCCTATACTACAATCTTCAGCAACAAAGAATAAGAAGAAGTAGAAATTACCTACGCTCAAAGTTAAATGTTGCTATTATTTATACTGATCTGGGAATACTTAATTTCTACTTCTTCTTCTTTCTGTTGTTTTTGAATGTTCTAAAGAAGTTGTTTTGGGTTTAAGTTGTCGTTGTGAATCTGATGATGACATGGTTGAATGTACTTTATATTTGTCAGAGGACCTAGTTTCCAGAGGGTAGAATGTGCTTTATATTTTGTCTTTTTGGATGTTTTCCTTAGAGCACCTCCACCCCAAAGGGTAAGGACAAGGCAAAGGCAAAGCAATGTTTGTCACTATTCACGAGAATAGTGGCAGCCCTTGCCTTTTTTGTTCCACCCCAAAGGGCAAGGACAAGGCAAAGGCAAAGCAATGTTTGTCACTATTCATGTGAATAGTGGCAGCCCTTGCCTTTTTTGTTTTCACCCCAAAAGGCAAATGCAAGGGAAATTACTATTTACTTTAATTAATTTTATTTATTTTTTCATACTTAAACCATTAATTTTGGTGTGGAAAGTGAAGAATATAACTAGGTATTTATTTATAAAAAAAAAATTATGAAAGTTTTGGTATTTTT